CCGGCCGTGCGGGAGCCCCTCCCGCCCGCGGCCCGGCTCGGAGGCCCCGCCGAAGGGAGTGTGAGTTTGACAGGGAGGAGGGGTTTCGGGGAGGAAAACAACACCAACCACTTGTTGGGTGAAATGTTTCCATGTTTTTCTCTGCGTTGCCAAAAGTATCCTCAGTGTTGTTGTTGTTTAATTTAATGTTTGTTTTTTCTCCTGTTAAGTCCTGGAGACTGGGTTAAGCACGAATTATCCCCCTTGTGCGTTGTGAAGTGGATGGATGGCAGAAAAACGTGAGGCAACAAGCAAAATTGGGTTCAAAAGCTCTGGGCGTGATTGATGTTCAGCGGTAGTGTTTGTCTAGCATGCACTGGGGTTCCCTACCCAGCTCTGGGGGATGGGGGGGCGGGGGGAGGCCGGGTGGAGGGCAGGGAGAGGGCAGGGAGGCAAATCTCTGCTTTGAAGGAAGAACCCAAGAAGCTCACTTAGGCTATTATCTTCCAGGATGCGGCTTTGTGGTGGCAGTTCTTCATGTTTTTGGAGGGTCATGAGCCTTGTTGAGAATCTGAGGGGGTGTCAGGTTCCTCCTCAGAAGTCTCCAGTCAGTTACAATGAGTTTTCTTGCGTGTGTATACGTGTGCGCATGTGTGCTGGTACTGAGGCTTGAACTCAGGGCCAGGTGCTGTCCCTTAGCCTTTTCACAATGGGCTGGCACTCTACCACCTGAGCCACAGGTCTGCTTTCAGCTTTTTGGTGGTTAAGTGGAGATAAGTCTCTGGATTTCCCTACCCCCAGGCTACTGGCTACACTGAGACCCCAGGGTCCCACTACACTGAGTTTTCGTTATTACTTCTGGAGGCTCTTGAGCCATCTGTAGCTCTGCCATGGACTTCAGGTTACAACCCCGTGTTGTAGAGGTGGGTGATAATTAATCCAGGGTCCTGTCCAGTTGAACAAAATACAGTGAAAGGCAGAGGAGATGTCCTTTGACTATTGGAATGTGCAGTGTGTGTGAGGCAGACCCCCTGGGATGCCTGGGTTAGCACATAGAAACACAAATCAGGCTGCTGGCTAGCT